TATTGGTGTTTTGTTTTAGTGACTACATGACACATTAGACATAAAATATTAAGTAAATTGGAGGGGATATATATGTTTTGCTGTGAAAAGTACAGCAATAAACAGTTGAAGCATGGTTTGCTCAGAGTGTTGTCTTCAGCAGCTTCTGCGTCTTGACATCCTTTCCCTCTTTTTCTGTGTTCTGCCTGTCCTTGTCTCTTTTCTCTTCTTTGTCATCTGTCAGACCTGAGGAAATGCTGTCCTTCAGCATGGACCTTGTTAGTAGTTCTAGAGTCTCACATTTAAATCTGAAGTATTGCCAAGTCTCTTTGAATTGTCTGTAGAAAGGTGTTACACATCCATGCAGAGCACTTCGGATTGTAGTCGCTGCTGTCAGCTCTCTCAGAGTTTAGACTCCACCAGTTTGTTCTTTTTCCCATCTCCCCTCTTCTTCCCCCTTACCCCTCCCCATATTTTCTATTCCACTGGCAACCCAACAAACTGTCTTCGGGGATTTGTTACACTATAAATTGTGTTGCAGAATTGGAATTTTAAAACAGGTAAAACACCTCAGCAGGAGTGATGCAAACATTTTTGATGTTAAATTGACTGTTAATGGACATGTTAGATATAGTGGTTCTAGCAGGAATATGTTGAAAGCTTTTTGTCATCTCACTTGAACTACCTGAAAAATTTGTTAAATTCCACAATGTAAATGTCACAAAAGGTTTTGTAGTAGTTTTGTTATAATGGCACATTCAAAAGTTGTTTTCCTCAGTTGTTTGTGATTTAGAAATGTTTTATGGTTATTTATCGTATGATACGTTGCATGTTTTCTTGAGATAATGCATGAGAAGCATTTTTACTCTAGTTTTGTTCCATTAGTTTCCATTAGACTACAGTAGAGGCAGTGTGTATTTGTTCTTCTGATACTGTAGTGACACAAAAGAAAACCTGGTGAAATGCTTTGATTTATAAATGAGTTGTAGATGTTTTTATTAGTATTTAGAGCATGGCTGTTAAAACTTTGAGCCCCTTTTACATGACTGTTCAGACCACTGCAGCTATATTGAGCTGATCTGTTGCTGACAGTTACTGGAATGCTAGTCGTTATGGTCTGAGTAAATATGGGAAACATGGATTCCTGAGCTGCTCAAATATGTGGAATGGGTACAGGAAAACTGTTTGTAGGAATGCCTGTTAACACTTAGTGAGGACTATATTTTGGTTTGTTCCTTTAGAATATACTGTTGGAATTCTTTTAGGATATACTTGTGGAAGTGGAGGAATGTTCTATTAGGAAAGTCTGTAGTGCATGCCAGAATTGGAGTTCTTAGCAGGCTACCCAAATCTGTGATTCAAATACAGCCCTATTTGTATGTCAATATTAAGTTTGTCTATGTTTCATTTCATGTATTTAGAATGTTATTTCGGATACCTACCATTAGTAAATAATATAATATCAGTTAAACATAAGGATTTTTATTTTTCCTTTGCAATGCACTATTTTAGTGCTCTCTATAACTTACTAGGGAAAAACTGAGAAGAGTTTTTTAAGATGAGAATGTAAAACGCATAGATTTACTGTTTGCTTTAAACATCTCCTTTTTTCCCTGTCTCTCTCTCTCTCTCTTTTTTTTTTTTTTTTTTTTTTTTTTTTTTTGCCAAGATGTATCATGTGGTGGTCATGAATGGGAAGTTTTAGGACCGGTGGTATTAATATGCTGTACATTTGGTAGGAAGTCTTTTTAAGAAACAACACTGTTAGTGGTTTTCAAAGTTTGCAGAGATTTTTTTATCTGTAAACTGTAGAACAGAAGCCATTGTAACAGGTGAGCTTTATGGGGAACATAGTCTCATTTTTACTTGGAAAGGTCATTACATGGTAGGAGATTGTTGCCTGGATGTTCTTGATGCTGTGTATTCGGAAATGGGTCAATTTGTATTCCAACACAAAGCCTTGGGTTTTCTCTTGCTTCCATTGCAATCTTCTGTGGTTGAGGCATGCATGTAATTTTCTAATCTTCACTGTCTGATGAGGCTTTTATGCTCATGTACAAATTATGAGAGGATCTAACATAGGGTGTCTCTGCCCTTATATTGGTACTGCTGGTCCTTTCTTAATATGGAAGAACGGTACTGGGAAGACTCTTCCCTGCTTGAGGAGCAGCAAGATGGAATTCTGCGTAGGGCACCATGTATTAGAAGTTTGTCTCGTCACCATTGATGGTAGTGCTGAGGCAGGAATACAGCTCCATCTTCCTGTTCTGCCATTTATTAGTTCTCTTTGGTTTACAACTTGAGAACTGTGTTTTTATCCAAGCACAGTCTTACTGCATTTTTGACATCAGATGTAGAAGTTTTTCGGAGACTTGTGTAAATTGTTCACTGTAGTTGCGGTTACTTACTCTCATGTTTCTCCTTCCACCTCCTCTTTTATTGGACCTTTTTATTTCACACAACACAAGAAAGAAGGTAATTCCTTAATTTTTAGAGTACCCAAAGCATTTGGAGGGAAAGAATTTTAACTCCCCTCTCCGAAACCATTTATTCCAAAAAATGAGTAATTTATTCATTATATCCTGACTCAAATTTATGCTAAGGAAAGCATTTTACAGCATACTGTCTAGGAGATAAGCTGGTAACCATCAGAAGTCAGAATGCCCATTTATATGCAATTCAATGAGTCCATGCAGTAGTTTACAAGCCTGAAAAGTGTCTGTATCTTTTCTTGATCCTATGTCTTTGGTTGTATTTTTATAAACTGTCTGAAAACTCTGGGGCCGAGTGACAATAGCAGGGAGTGGCAGTCTAGTAATTCATCCACCTCCAGGCGGGTGAACGATAAAATAAGCCTTGCAGAAATTAATCTTCTGACTCCAAGCAGACTATGTGACTGTTCAAAGTCTGTCTGCTACAAGTGAAGCTCTGCTTAACAGGTCTACTTGCTACGAATAACACCAACACTGTCCGGATTCTTGAGTTAGGAAAGCAGAAAAACACTAGGTTTTAGACAGGTTTGTTAGGCAATTAAGTTTGTCATCTTTGTGTCATTTGTAGACAAATATGTTGTGCTTTCTCTTCAGTCTTTATCTGTGTGGTTTCTACTTGCTTTGAAAAGTAATCCCTTTGGGTTAGAGAGACTCAAGCAGTGGCAGAGATCCTCATGAAATAACTAGTTGTTAATTGTACATAAATTTCACAACTTCTGCTGCTCTCTCTAAGTGGACTGCATGATAGGTTAAGGGAAAGCAAGCTTAAAAAACCTCTTTCTCTGACCTCCTGCTTATATGCATCAAGTGGTTGCTTTTCCTTCTTTATGAGAAAACCTTACCTTTTAAAAAGCTGTTAAGACACTTTTTTCCAGTTTACAGAATTTGTGTGGCGATAGGGTAAGCTCTGATGCAAGAGGAACTGTTTAACTTCATTTTCAGGCCTTACCTTTTTTGGGGGTCTTTTTTGGTTTTAATACCATTTCAAAATGGGATTTCTGACCATATATGTTGGGAATAATCTCTGCCTTTCTGAAGCTTGCTAGAATAGGATTTGGAAAGCTCACTTTCTTCACCCTTTCATAAACAGGATCAATTTATCTCAATACCTAATTTCTAAGTCTTCTGGGAGCGAGATGAATTAGGTATTTGAAATTTCATTTTGTTCTTGTTGCTTGAATGACAAATGGCTGCAGTTTCACATTATAAAAGAAAGTAATTTTTCTTTAGAATTGAAGGAGAGCAGATATAAAAAAATATGTTTAAAAAATTAATCTTTTTAATCCCCTGCTGTCACTCCAGGATCCTTATGTGTCTGTTTGGACCTCAGCTTCAGCTTCTGGCTCTGAAAAAGCTGTATTGTTTACCCATGTTTAACCTACTGCTCTCTGACTTAGGACAGATTCTTTTTGGGTAACTTTTGCTCAGCTTACCGCTCTCTTTCACAGGAAGCTGAATGGTTGATCACCATTGGAAATTTACTATTGCTTCACTTTGTTCATAGAACAGCCAAAGTCATTTTGGCAGATATTTAAAGAGAAATTCAGTTCTGCTGAGACGACATTGTGAAATGGCACTTACGTAATGATCTGACTTAATAAATAACCTAAAGCATTTGATCAAAACAAGTAACTTCTTATTAATTTTCTAACTAGTAGTAAATGGATTGTAATTAATGGTATAAAGCCATGCATAACTTACAGCAAGAACAGTTACCTAGTTAAAACAACCAAAGGCTGAGCTCAGAGTCTCTGTTTCTGTATGCAACTTATTTGGCCAAGGTTTTATTTTCACATGACTGGTTAAAAGGGTACAATATGTGTTCACTTCACTGGTACATTAGTGCTTAGAAATATTTTTGACCAGAGGCAATGCTAGTGTACGTCTCTGTAAAGATTAAATTTTCAGTGTGAAAATAAAACAATGCTTTGTTGCATTATTAATAATTATTAAATACATATAATTTATAATTATTAAATAAATAAGCAAACATCAAGCTGACACATACATTCTGCTTTCACATTGAATATCCACTCAGTTTTTGAAAGAATAGGTTTCTATTTAAGACTAATGGAAGCTTTGTAGTTTTCAGTAGCATTTTTGTCTGTTTGCCATTGCCATTTGATCTGGAAACTTTTGTGGAAAAAACAGCTGATGACAGGGATGGTGAGTTAAGTATTGTAAATATTGGAGAAGATTTTTGTTTTATTTTTTGGTATGAAAGATATACTTTGCACTTTACCCTGCGTAAGTTAGAAAAAAAACCCCGTTTTTACTTCCATGACTTACATTGTCTATTTTTAAAATATCTGCACCTGTAGTTTGAAGATATCTTGAAATTATTCCCCCTGCTCTAAACATACATGTGAAAGTGTGAACTGTGCGTAGTGTGCATAGTTTTATTTCTGATTCTGTGCTCACAGGTGTCTAAATGTCTGAGGGCTTTTTCTAAATGAGAAGAGTTTACTTTTATGTGCCTTTACCAAGTGTGATTTTTCTTTTTGTTGTTTGTTTGGATATTTCTTTTAGGTTAAAAAGTCGTATTATCTCAGGGAAGGAGTAGCCTATTGTGGGTTTCTTGGAGCAGCAGCTAAACCCAATAATGAGCAGATGATACCAGTTGAAACAGTGTGTGGCAGACATCATCACAGTGGCAACACCGCGCAAGCAACATCAAAGAGCAGGGGACTTCTATGTTGCTAAGTCATCAGGAAACATGCCTAGTATCTCAGCTGCCAGAGTGGCTGCAATTTCTACATAGATCTTTATAGATCTTGTAGCCATGTCTGTCAGTGCAACAGAGAGTGATCCTCCTAGATTCTTCGTGGGTGGAGAAGATGGGGAAGAATTATTGGATTCAGCCAGATCTACAGATTACGAACACTTCTATGACCATGGGGAAGAAGAGGAGGAAGAGTATGATTCTGTATGTACTGAAGGGGGCATGTGTGTACTATTCTGTATGTTCTCTAGCATTATTTTATTTTGAAATGGGATTAGATCACAAAAATCTGATACCGAAAGGGTGTTATGAATTAGGAAGTTGTTCGTATTTGGATAATGATCTGTCAGTTATGTTTAGAAATGCCACAGACTTGAAAAGTAAGTATACCTTGAACTTTGAAGTAGATATTCTTGACCTTAATACAGAGTTTGAGGGCAGGGGAGGTTGATGTGCCAACTTTGCAGACTTAATTTGGGTTCTGGGAATGAACTTGATGGCATAAGGTTTCATTTTATTTATTTGGATAATTAGTAGCAAAAGAGAGAGAGAGTTTTTCTTTTGTGTTTATTGTTGGCTGCTGCAGAGTTAACTTTTGATTTTTCAGTTTGAACAGACTCAACATTTCTTTTTTCATATCATTGTTTTCACTAAAATCCGACATGTTTTCATTTTTCTTCCTTGGTGTATAGAAAGTGCATGCTAAAATAATCTTAAATTATACAGTAGTTTATTATCCTTGCAGAGTGTTCTGAATTGTATTTTAGCACTGTGCTTACCGATTTTTAGGGTTTTTTAAGACAAACTAGTTATTTCATTATGCATGAGTCATGCCGTTTATTTTTAGTTGTATTTTGCTGTTCTTTTAGTCTATAACATTTCATTTTAGGGAATAGTCAGATTAAATTTTCACTGCTTGCAAGCATGTCTAAAAAATTTAAATGCAAGGAAGTGCCAATAAAACACTTCACCATGATTAGAAGTAGTTTGGAAATGCAGAGAAGTAGTGCAAAATCAGCAACTTGGACAGCTCAGTTCATTCAGGGTATTTTAGCAAGGGAAGGTAATTGGCTGTTTTAAAAGAACAGTAAGTTGAAATAAAGAATTGTTGTGGGGTTTTTTGTTTGTTTCTTTTTAAACACAGGAGTAGGTTGGCTGTTGCACTTAGCAATACCACTAGGAGAAGGAATTTTTAAAGGCTTATAACATGAAAGAAAATATGGAGTATACAGAAGAAAAAAGAAACTGTGTGCCCAAAATAGCTCAGAAACCTAGAATAATATTTTCTGGTTTACTAGTTTTCCTTTTTACAAGGAAATTTCATATTAAAGTAATAAGGTGAGAAGCCTTATGACTACTAAGTAATGTAGAAAAGTTAAATAGTTTAAAAATGAATGACTAGTTAATTTCAGAGTAAGCCATAAGTATGATTCATTCAGATTTGACATTTCTGATTTATTTTTGTTCCTGATACATTACTCACAAAAAGTAGTGTAGAGCTATTGAACAATTTCATTTTTCGAAGCATTTTTCATAAGGATGCAATGCGATGTGCTGACATGCCGCATTTTGTTACCTGCTAGAAATTTACTTGTTTAAAAATGAAATTAAAGGTAGTACCTGAATTTTAACAGAAAACATGTGCTCTAGTATTTTGCTGCTAAAACCCTGTTGTGTTCTGAGAAAACTTAAAAATAATAACTGCTTTTTCCCCCCCCTCTTCAGCCACCAGAAAGACAAATTGCAGTTGGGATTTGTTCAATGGCTAAGAAATCTAAGTCCAAACCAATGAAAGAAATTCTTGAACGCCTCTCCATGTTTAAGTACATAACTGTGGTAATATTTGAAGAGGATGTTATTTTGAATGAGCCAGTAGAAAACTGGCCTTTATGTGACTGTCTCATTTCTTTTCATTCTAAAGGTAAATCTTCTAATAATACCATAAATATTTTTGATATCTAAATACTTTAACCAGTTTGAGGGTCTTTTTTTTTCACCTTATAGTTTTATTGGATTTTCCTAGGAAGTGATTAGTTTGTCTTGTTTAGCCTAATACGTGACTTTTAAAATATAAGCTTTTTAAAATGACACTGCTTTCATTGCTTGAAAAAGTCCTGTCTGACATGGTATTTAAAACAGCTATTCTGTTGGTAAATATTTGTGGAGCCAGTGGAAATGGTGATCTAATACTTGGTCCAGTAATGGTGAAGGCATGCTACTTTCTCAACAGGAGTGTTCATATATCTCTGCTAGTATCTAGTGTTTTTTGTGGGCCTGGGCAGTGAGCCAAAGATGAGTAGACTGAAGTTAAAGATCGTATTTTCAGGCAGAGGCGTAGCCTTAGTTCTGTCCCTATGGAAGTGGATGACATGTGGAGTGACGAGGAAGAAGTTGGAGACAGACTTTTGGCTGCCTATACTGAAATTAGGCTATAGTTTCATGATGGTCTTAAGCTGATGCTATGTGTGTCTATAGTTGGGGGGGCATCCTCCCACTTAATATTTCTGGTTGTACTCTGAAGCTTAAATATGAGGGTTCCAGACTATTTACAGGTGTTGTGTCTTGTAGTTTGAATTTGTTTGCCTTTACAAATATTTCAGGATTTCCACTGGACAAAGCAGTTGCCTATGCAAAACTCAGGAATCCGTTCATAATCAATGACTTAAATATGCAGTATCATATACAAGACAGGTAGGTAACACTACTTAGCTTTAAACAGCAAACTGCTTTTAAGTAGGAGACTGTGAGAGTCTGTCAGTGTTGCATAGCAGCAGTTCCAGTGTGTTGTACAATAGTCTAAACAAAATTACAGTGAATGTTATGTTTTATTAATGTATGCATAATTTTCTGGGATATGTCTTTAGTTGTGTTTTTTTCTTTTCCTGCCTTTTTATTGATATGTCTGAAGATCTAACAAGGTAGAAATTTGATGATACATTTGAATGAAGCTTAGCAAATGAAAAAAATAAAACTCTGGAAATATGTATGGCATAGGCATGTATAGGAACTGTACAACCTCCTGTAATTGTAGAATTCATGTGACTTACTAAAGGTCTCTTTCTCTGGTAAGTGGATACTTAACACAAGTTTTTGGTGTTCCGACATGGTGTGGTTATTTAAAGTGAATTTCCTTTGGGCTGCAATCATGCATAAAAAATGTTAACAAAACAATGGTGAGAAAAATACATAAACATTAGAGCCTTCTGAATAGTGAGCAGACTTGCTATTTTGGATGCCTTCAGCTGCTGTCCTGTATAAACACTTTTAAACCTTCATGTTAATAATTTCTTTTAACAAGAGAATTGTTCTATGTAAATTGTTTTTGCACTGCCAGAATAGAGAGGCCAGGACTGGCATAGCAAATTGCATTTTTACTGATACTTATGAGATCACTGCAGAGGTACAGCTGTGTCAGTGACCTTCAAAGCATTATATTAAGAAGCAGAGTATTAAATGTAATCTTACCCTGTGTGATTTTAAAAACAAAAATTATATGTATTTTGCTTCTCCCTTCCTCATGGACTGTAAAATTCAAATATGGCAGGATTTGCTCTTTACTGTGCAACTTTTGTCCTTTTCCTCTAGGAGAGAAGTATACAGCATTCTTAAAGCTGAAGGCATTTTACTTCCTCGCTATGCAGTTCTGAACCGTGATCCAAACAATCCCCAAGGTAAAAACTGATGACTAAAATATCAACCATTGTAATCTCTTTGTTTCCACTGGAAAACAGTACATACCTGGCAGAAGGCTAAATTTCTCTTGCTAGGAAATTAATTAATTGGTGCAGAAGTTGATTTCTCCTCCAGTATTTAGAGTATTGTTGTGGATTAACCCCTACTGGCTGTGGGGGCAATATGTGAAAGGGAAGGCATTGAGGTTGTGTAAGCAACTCTTCAGCAATGACTGAAACATCAAGACTGTTTTGGTCACAAATTCCAAACATAGCACCATAACAGTTTTTGTGAAGAAAATTAACTCCATCCCAGCCAAAAGCATTACAAGTATACATCTGAAAAGGACAATTCTGAAGCCTGGGGTCACAGTCCTCTTACAGCTGTCACAGAGCAACTAGAATATAAGGGCCTCCAAACTCAAAATGAGATTCTAATATGTCACCAAAGAGAGCAGCATTCATGATGTTACGTTACCCCAAATAATTAGGAATTGTACTTAGGAAAGTAATATTGACAGAAACAAGTCAGACTATTGAATACTTTCCCTTCTGGGTACAAGCAATGTGAGCGTAATCTAGTGCAGACAAATCTGCATATGATATATTCTGAATATAAATTGGAATTAATTTTTTCTGTACCTGTAAACAAATATAACAGCTTTTTCTGCTAAAATGAAACTTGCAGCAACAATAGGAGATTACAAGGAGATGTCAAGACACAAGAGTAAGAGCTAAGAAGTATTACTCTGGTGTAGCTCTTAAGAGGTAGGGATGTTAGGTTAAAATACCTGCAAAATCCAGGGGGAAAAGGACTCATTCTTGCTACAAAAGTCAAATAAAAGCTGCTGCATGCAGTAGTGAAGAGCTTTCTGATCCCTGATTCCAGAGGATCTAGTCCTCTCTGCAAAGTGCATCAACCACACAGTATGAGACAGTTCTCAGCCTAATAAAAGTACTGTTGCATTGGGCACCACATGGTGTTCATTGTCCATCTGCCATCCCCCTTATATTTCAGAGAAAGGCAGTGAAGAGAGAGACAGTCCTACCCCCGTCTTCAAAACATTAAAAAAATAATACCACCTATGCAAGTTTATGCATCTGTAGGAGATGATTTCTTGTCTGACACTGAGGGAATCAACAGAAATCCTGGAACACAACATTAAGTTACATAATATAAATGTGGTGCAGCAGACATGTTCAGCACATGATCATCAAGTCTTTGTGCAGACAGTGGCAAACCAGTGAAACAAAATGTAATATAGTCTATTTCAAACTACAAAATTACCCCAAATCTCCAGTCATTTCATTCCATTAATATATTATTACATTTCTGTTGTTCACACTATTTCTTCAGAATGCAACTTGATTGAAGGAGAAGATCATGTGGAAGTGAATGGAGAAATTTTCCAAAAGCCGTTTGTAGAAAAGCCAGTTAGTGCTGAGGACCATAATGTTTACATTTATTATCCAACATCTGCTGGGGGTGGAAGCCAGAGGCTCTTTCGAAAGGTGAGGGTGCTGTACTAACCCTATTGAGAAGTTGTAGATGTCTGACAGAATTGCAGAGTAATTCCGTCCTATCAGTTATGTTATCTGGGACCTCTTTTGTCATGTTCTGCTTGTGTAGGGGTAGTGGCAGATCAGACCAGTTAATTTCAGGGGAACATGTAGATTGAATGGAGACCCTTGTTCCTTGCAGTAGATTGTCAGCCATTGCAGATTCTTATGGATAAACGAAGCATACACCTACGGTGCATTTTTATGATCTTATAAAAATCTTTTGTGAACAATCAAAACCTGCTTGCTTCATTTCGTACAGGAAGTGTTTTCTTAGTACAGGTGTTATTTTAAGGAATGCTAAAGTTTCTCAGGCAGTAGCCTATGAGTTTACTAATAGAAAAATATTCACTTCAGATTGGCAGCAGAAGCAGTGTTTATTCCCCTGAAAGCAGTGTGAGGAAAACAGGCTCCTATATTTATGAGGAATTCATGCCTACAGATGGCACTGATGTGAAGGTATGACAACTATGCATTCTTATTTGTATTTAGAACAATCAAGTGCTCCAAGAGTTTGTCAGTTTTAAAGATGAAAGTATATCGTTGTGTCAAAGATTAATTTTAATGACATTTTGATATGGTTCGTAAGCAAAGAATGTAATTCATGTTCTACTTAAACACAGTACTTGCAATGTAGAGCAGCTTTGCTTATTATGTTGAAATCAAGAGCTGGAGGCTTATTACCTAGCACGTTGTCTTTTTTGTATTGTGTTAGTGCCAGAACAGCATATACTTTCCTGTGTAACTTGCTAGATGCTGCCTAGATATTTTGTCTAAAGATTACAAAGAAATCTGTAATTGAAATAGATTTTTCCAACTATCTCAGTAGAATAATTAATAAAGAAAAGTTATGTACTAAAATTATATGAAGTTGCAGAAAATAATTCATTGACCTTATCTGTAATTACTTTCACTCTTTTGTTCGTTTATTTTCTTGACAGATGTATTGATTGGTTATCATAAAAGAGTGATAAAATAGAGCAATAACAGAACAGGTTTTAAGCCAGCCATGTACGGAGATTGCTTTCTTTCCCTTCTGTTATTTTTAAGCCCATCACAAAACACGTGGAAAAAAAATGTTTTACAACGTGTATGAGAGATCATGTATTTAGACAAAAGTGGAGGTTTAGAGAGTGGGAGATCTAATCCAATCTTAGGCCAAAGAGACCTTTTACCAGTTGCAGTCAACTTGTCCCAGTTGGTGATACATGAGGGGAATGCTCATTTTATGTTGTCAGACAAATTCCCCGTTCTTTAAGTTGCTACGTTTCTATGAGTTATTCTCTTTAGGTGGTTATACTGTGCAACACTTTGCAATAGGTTAATCTGAGTTTACACATGTCTGTATAAGAATTTTACAAACTGTTTCCAAAAAGGTTTCTTGCAATCTGAAGAGATGCAAATGACTTGAGGGGTGGGGACTGTTTCGAGTACTACTTGTACTATGGTCATCAAGCAGCAGCTGTGGACTTCAACACTGCAAATAAAGAATGGATTTTCTGTCAGCTTTATATTAGGCAGCTTCACCCAAGTCACTCTCTTGCCTGAAATGACTAAATTGGCAGTATTTGCAGTTGTCTGGTTTAGTTGAATACTTTTTTAGCAAAGATTAAAGTTTTGGTTTTAGTTAAAGTGACAATAACCCATTTTTGAGAGCTGCTGACAAGTCTCTTCTAGCATATGTCCCAGTCCTTTCAGTGAGCATCAAAACTGTGGCAAAGCAGATATCACAATCATTCTCTAAAGCCTCTGGCTTGTCATGCTAAAACTGGGCAGATCTTTGCCTTGTTTAGTCCTGCTTAAAATATGAAAATATTTTTTAATGAAGAGAATCACTTAGTCCTACAGCCAGATTTCCATAATCAATTAGACTGAAATAATTCTCAAATTAATCTCAAATTTCTGCAGATGTTTTGGAGAGGAAAATATTATTCTTTACCTCTGTACCACTGTAATTAGGAAATACATTTGTATTCATCAAGTTTTAGAATTATTATTTTTCTTTACCTGTGCTCCAGCTGTTTTCTCCTCTTGCTTTATCCTACATTGTCAGTAAATGATGGGCGTTCTCTGAAGGCAGAGAGGAAGGTACTTTAGAGTGACCTTTTCAGTGATGAAAGCAGCTAGTATCTTTTGAAGTCATTATCACATATGAGGTACATTTATCAAGATGCATGCATATATGTAGTGTAATTTAATAATACTATGTCAAGAGTTCCTGTTTTTCAATACAGGTGTACACAGTAGGTCCAGACTATGCTCATGCTGAAGCCCGGAAGTCTCCAGCTCTGGATGGCAAGGTAGAACGAGATAGTGAAGGAAAAGAAGTGAGGTATCCAGTCATCCTGAATGCAAGGGAGAAGTTAATTGCTTGGAAAGTATGCCTTGCCTTTAAAGTAAGCTGATTACTTTCATATCTGATCAAACATTTAGTTTTATTAGTTCTTTATTACGTGAGACTTCTGTAGGGTTTTAGTGCACAGAGCCAGCAGCGATAATTACTGCAGACCTCCTAGGAAGGAGAAAAGTTGAACTTCCACATCTAGATCTTTTTTTAATCTAGACAAATTCTTCCTTTAATGCATTGAAAAGTTCTGGATGGGTTGCTTATGTTGCGTAAGTTTCCTGAATTCATATATTGCTGTTCTTTGCTAGTTCACAGTGTCTCTGTGGTATGTGTAATATGTTCACACATTTTGTTAATGGTTTTAAGTTAGTGAAACGCAATTTCAGTTGTCAAGTTTATGTAACTTTTGTTACCTAGTGTTTGCATCGGGCCCAACTAAATGTTAATTTAGTACTAATATGAGTAGGTCCTTATTTTAAGTGTTCGATTGTTTCCATTTTTGTATAGTTTTAAGATTCATTTGTTCAAAACTTCATTCAATCTCTTACCCTCCTTTCACTTGTCTTATTAAAAGGCTGGCCTTCAATCTGTCTCATTACCTGTGTGTAACTATGATGGCATTCTGGAGCCTATGGGGCTTGAACCTCTATTGCCTGCCAAAGTGGGCTTTGAGATCTAAAAAAGTTATCTCACACTATATTTATAGCATCATGGCGTCTAGTATCCTGTACTTACAATGTCAATGTTCTGTCAATTGCGAAACTATCCTGTCAAATTTAAATTTGACCAAAAATGTTTTTATCAATATTTTGTCGTTTCTTGCCTGCCATCCTTAAAAAATATGTGTAGAGGGAAACCACTATTAGAATAGTGAATTTATAGGTCTGTCATTGCTTATGCTGTAAAACTTGAAAGTTAAATTTGTGCACATGTGACCTTGATCTTCAATGCTGACACTGCTGAGGATATCTAGGAAGGGTAAAAGTTAGGGATATAAAGTTTAAAATAGGAAGGTGTTTGCATGACACGAGCGAACCTAACGTGGAACTGGCAAAAGGTAGTAAGTATAAAATCTGTCACATTTTTGTTGTTTTCAGCTAAATAAAGTTTATTTAGAATAAGCAATCCTAAGGAAGGTGATCAGTGACTTGAACTTTTATTCTTAAAAACAGCAGACAGTTTGTGGCTTTGATTTGCTGCGTGCTAACGGACAGTCCTATGTCTGTGATGTGAATGGCTTCAGTTTTGTGAAAAATTCCATGAAATACTATGATGATTGCGCTAAGATTCTGGGGTAAGAGTTTACTGATTTATTTCAGGAGTTTTGCCTATTAACTCTGTATGTGACGATATGTGCTACTTATTCCTAAATTAATTATTTAAAATGAAATATCATGTAAAATAAGTAATAAAAATATTTAAAAGAATCCTACATGAACAAATCAATTCCTTATTCCTAAAATAAACCAAAACATCTGAGTCTGAGTAAACACTTCAGGCTAACTGAATAAGTATTTCGAAAGCTGTATTAAGTTCTTAAAGGTAGTTGAGATTTTTTTCAAGTAGAGAAGCACCAGTGGGTGGTTATGCTTTCTGCTGTTTAATATGTGCCTGAATTAAATGTACATTGTCCTTGATATGAAACTGCTGTATACTTGTATGTTTGTGGATTTCATAGCAGTAAATCCAAACTGAGGTAGTATCATGGTGTCTTCTGTTATACCATCTTCTCTCTGCTACTGGAAACAAAAAGTATAACAAGGGATCATACAGGTCTGAGTAGTGAACTCTATGCCAATGAAGTGGTGCCCTGTTTTGCCAATCAGCAGAGTTAGCACAGAGGACACAGGCACCAAAAAGAAGTAAACTTATTTTTGCTTATGTCCAAAATGACAAAGTAATGAGGAAAATAGTACAGAGAAAATAAAGCAAGATAAGGTAAAGCAGCAAGACAACAAGCAAACTACTATAGCAAGCACAAAATAATGTAATGCACCTAATCATTACTACACAGAGTTAGTGACAGTGATTAAGAAAGATACATCACCAACTGCCCTATATTACCATCATCCAGATCTGCAGACGCTGGGGAGCCCGTTTACAGCGAAGGATTTGGAGAACTCATCCTGGCAATTGGGAAATCTCTATACAGTGCGTCCACTGCATAGAGGAAGCTTCCAAATTTCCCTGCAAACAGTCCCCGCTTTTATACAGTTAAATAAACAATTTTATATCTTAAGCTGCGAGAAACATCTGGTGTAGTTTTTTTTTTCCTTGTTAACTTTTTCCCACGCTTGGCCAGAGCCCGAGAAAAGGTTAAGAAGAAGTAAACGTGTCTGGTTATCTTTGATTATGCGTCTCTAAATAACGCCCATCACTGCCCTGCTACCTTCTGTCACGTAGAGGTCTGTTTGAAGGTTTGAGTTAGGTTTATCTCTTTTCGGCAAGTGGAGCCACTGTTACACAGCTAGTATCTTACAGCAAGCGTTACAGCAATGCTCTATAAGCGTTACAACAAAAGCTTTTATAAATTGGCATATATTCATAAGGTAATACATTGCATATGTGATCAATATGATACATATTAGGTACATTGTTAGGTTGTGGGGTTCACCTAGAGGTCAGCTTTGGTTCAGGGCCTCACTGCTCAGGCCCTAGTATTTCATGCCCTCAAAGTAGACTGATCCCATTTTGATTAGTTAAACTGGCTTTACAGTAAGATTGCACTCATGAGATACAAAATGACTTTGCATTGTCAAATGGTCTGCGATATTATGAGATGGAGGAAGAGCTAAGCTGAAATCCTACATAACTGTAGCCCTGTTGTTTTAGGCCACTTTTTGAGTTATAGTTGCAATTCTCAGACCTATTTGATTTCTCTTTATTCAAATTGTTGTAGCTGTTATCATTTTTTCCTTGTGCTTAATTCCTTAAGGGTAATACATTGCAGTGTTAAGTAACAGCAGATTTTTTCCAAGCTTTTTAGAAATTAAATTTTGGCTTATGCTACTTTAAGATGCACAGTTTTTTTTCCGCAGTGTTACTGCTTCTTATGTAGTTATTAATTCTGTATATTTTGATGAAATACTTGGAAAACAGAACATTAGCAAGGTTTAGCAACCTTCTATAGGTTCAGGCAGTGTTATCATTTTGTAGTTATGACCAGAAACTTTAGTTATTTTTCCAGTTCTATCACAACAACTGTTGAGAAATTACCACTAAAGGTACTAGTGACTCCTTGATGAGAATGACTTGCTGATAATCAGGGACTTTCAGTTAGGCAGTGGAATCTGGTATCTGAATATTTAAATGAAAAAAGACTAAATTATATCCAAGGAACCCTTTTAGGAACTGGAGTTCAAAACTGAAGGTTCTTACAAATCCAGGGCCATTAGGCTAATGTTGTCTCTGTAGCAGTTGTAGTAGCTTTGAATTGTTGTTTAAGTGGTTTTTTATTATACAATTAGAAGAAAAATACGCATTGAGAGGTTCATGACTGCTATTACTCTGGTAATATAACGTAACCACATTGATAAAAATGCATGTATATATTATCTATTTGGTTTGGAGTTTGTATGTGTTGTATATGCTGTGCTTTAAACTTTGTGTTTTTTTTTCTTTTTAACCCCTTTTGTAGAAATATCATAATGAGAGAACTTGCTCCCCAGTTTCAGATACCATGGTCGATTCCTTTGGAAGCTGAAGACATCCCTATTGTGCCAACCACCTCTGGCACAATGTAAGAAAATAGTAGCTACACCTGAATTGTACAAACTACTAATGTAACTTTTGTGTGAATTTTTTTTCTCTTCACAAGGTGTGCCCACTTTGGCCTATGAACGCTTGTTTTGTGTCATGAGAACAAGGAAGGAATCACAATTCCTAAGCCAGCAGTCAGAGTTTCTGACCCTTAGTCAAGCTGAGTACAGAACAGCAGATTTTCAAGTGTAGTGTCTTTTATGCATAGCTTCCTTCACTGCTAATCGTTGTTCCAGCACCAACTTAATATGCATTTCTAATAAACATACTCTCTCATTTAATGAACCTCAAAATTGGTGTTTTTAAAAACTACTTAAAATAGATATTCTGTAGTTACCCAAGTCTTAAAATCAATATTTATATTTTATACGTGACATCATTTTCGGTTAACCTTATATTCTTGCATATCCTTCCGTCACTTCTGTAGTTACGTCATATAACTACAACTTTGTCAATTGTCTTGATTCATGATGGTTTTAACATTAAATAAAAGACCCTAATATATGGAATTGTGAAATATAACTCTTGAAATTTCAGGATGGAGCTTAGATGTGTTATAGCTGTAATACGCCATGGGGACCGAACACCAAAACAAAAAATGAAAATGGAAGTAAAACATCAGAAGTAAGTAGAATCTTGGTAAAGATTAGCTGGGATGCTTTAGAGCGGAGCTCACTTCTTGGAGATTGTGCAAGCAATGAACTGAGCTGGAATTGCATCATGCAAGTTTTTTTTCTCTTGTTTTGTTTTCTTTTAAATCTAACTGATACTGAAGCTAATTAGCAACTATGCACCTCTCTTTCTAACAGGATTGTCAGATTGCTTGTGCAGACTTCCTTCATCATATGCTGTGTTTTGTGAACTGTCCTGCCTGATCTTAATGAAAATGCATTTGTCTCTACAGATGTCTTTATTCAAAATAATGCAGCAGAGAGTATTTCTGGTTCAACATTTGACTGTGACTTCTGCCTTTCTCTTTTTATCATAACTGTTCTTATGTGAGATGCCATCTTGCTGCACCACCTTTATGTCCTTTACTTTTGTCAAAATGTGATGACTCTGAATTTCTGGTAGATGCCATCTTTATGTTAGCATTCATAAAGCACCTTGCATAATTGGTGTGGAATTAGGGGCAATTTCAGTAAAAATAATTAGTTGTTTTGAGACTAGATTCTTGCATTCAGAGATACATACTGTAAATGTGTATGACTACTCATGTGGTATTTTTAGTCCCTGCTTCTATTTATCATTCTTGAAGATTCAGACTTGACATATTCTAATATTATGTCATTTGATATATAGAGTATCTTCCCCCCCTTTTTTTAACACTTAGCAAGTCAGTAAGAGAACATTTTTAGTGCTCTTATGTCTCTAATGTGTTGAAGACTTTTATAGGAAATGTGATTTGAATAAAGGTTGGTTTGACCTCTGTAGTGCAGGTCTTAACATGCTTTTCAAATAGTGTAAAGATGCTAATTTGAGACCACTTTAAGGGTTGCTTGTTCAAGTAGTATTTTAACTTCTTAACTGTAATTTTTAATCAATGTTCTTTCTCTTAAAGGTTTTTTGATCTGTTTGAAAAATGTGATGGATATAAATCTGGAAAACTAAAACTGAAAAAACCAAAACAGTTGCAGGCAAGTTTGTCTTTATTTTCTTGCTGTGGTATTTTATAAGCAGAAAATCATTTATTTATTTAAGTAAATCCTATGTTTTCTTTCTGTAGGAAGTGCTTGATATAGCAAGACAACTCCTTGTAGAACTTGGGCAAAACAATGATTCTGAAATTGAAGAAAGTAAAGCAAAACTTGAACAGCTAAAGACTGTGTTAGAAATGTAAGTATCTAATTTTCAGGCTTCATGGTAACAAAGTTGTGTCTGCTATTTTGACCTGTTTGACTAGTTACTGCTTGGATTGCAATGGTTATCAAATATGTAATGATATATTAATTCAAGCACAAGTTTATCAAGAGAAAGGATGTCATGTTTGACATTATGTAGGAGAACTGTGCCATCTCTGTTTTTTCTTTATCTTTTTTAATTTAACTTATTGCTTTATCTAGTGTCTCAGTATACTTTCTACGTGCAAAAGTTACTTTCTTTGATCTCAAATTTTATCTTCTTGCATGTTTTTAACCTGTAAGGATTAGAGTGCAGGGTCTGCTTCTTACCATGTGTGACATAATGAAGTCTAATGGAGCCAGTGAGAACTTTCACTGTGTGTACTGTCTACTTACAGCAAACTTGGAGCATTCCAAATAAATAAGGCTTTGTATATTAAGTCTGAAATATTTAATAATTTAAAAAAAAAGAAAAAAAGAAAGATCTAAGGCTTCAAGGTTTTTTAAAGCTCTAGGGTCGCAGAACTCTAAATGGTAGTAGGTAACTTCAATTTTTAAAAAATGTGGGCAAAGATAGTTATTGTTGAAAACTATGATGATTGTTTGAAATAATACTTGAAAACTTAATTGGCTAACAGAATAGTGGCTATCTGCACTGCCAGGTCAGATTCTGGATACTGGTAGCCACTGTAGTTGTGGATCTGAACAGATAAATTACTTGTGCAGTCTGCAAATACTTTTTTTTTTTTTTGGTCAGTTTTTTGTTCAATGTGGTGAAAAAAAAAAGTAGTAAGTAGTATTTAGATAGTATTTTAAAATGTTTCATTGTAGAATAGTTGATATTTTTGTAGTCATTCTGTGCTCATTGAGTTGTATGTTCTAAGCACTGCTTCAATAAATGGTGGTCAAATGCACAAATCAATGACCAGCATAGATTTATTATATCCTGTTACAGGATCATAATAGATTTGGAGGAAAACATGTTTTTTCTTGCTCTCCTCCTCTCTCTTCCCCCTGTTCCTATTTCAGGTATGGGCATTTTTCAGGCATAAATCGCAAAGTTCAGTTAACATATCTCCCTCATGGTTGCCCAAAGACTTCCAGTGAAGAAGAAGGTAGTTATATTACTTTTGCACCTAATTATTTAATATCATGTGTGTTTAAATAGTCACTGACTAGTGGTATAACATGTCTTGATGTTAAGAAGAAGGAATATGTTGTTTGGAATTAATGTTTGTGTTGTTGGCAGATATTCAGAGTCTCTTATTCTGACGAATCCTGCACGTGAAACTATGTAGCAAATTTGTATTCTAACATTGCTTTTTTGTAACAGAAAAGTAGGGTGAAAAGAAGGGTTGGTGATTCACCAGAAATGGTGTTTTGGGGCTGGGATGGGAAAATCTCACTCAACATTTACTGCTATCTTTAAAACTTCCGCAAGCTTTTCTGGTCCTTGACCCATGGTTATCGACTGAAATAACTGTAGGGTGTTTAGCATCTAATTTGTTTTAATTTTTCTGACTCACTTTACTTTTTGCTTCAAATTTCATGCTAAATATTTTTCAGTTATGTTTTCTCTGTAATGTAACTACTTCAGGTTTCTCTGTTTCAGTGCCCATTGAGTTCTCCAGTTAAATGTATTCTTAATGTTAGAATGCTATTAATGGTTCATAATATTGAAGAGATTCTTTTCTGAAGATCTACATAGTCCAAATATTTTTGTTCATATGCAAAAAAAAAAAAAATTTGTAATATACTTCACTAGTAAACTCCTCTCTCTATGTACAAATAGATAATAGAAGAAATGAGCCATCCCTGCTTCTGGTTCTAAAGTGGGGAGGAGAATTGACCCCTGCAGGCAGGGTTCAAGCAGAGGAGCTTGGAAGGGCTTTCAGGTGTATGTATCCAGGTGGACAAGGTAAAAAAAAAAAAAATATATATATATATT